CGGGGGGGGTGAGCGTGTCAGTCACTGTCGTTCCCGGGGTCACAGTGACCCGATGGCTATTATGCTTCCAGACTCCGGTGGCTACCCTTGATCTCTTTCGACATTTCTGTTGAAGCTGACTTCTCTAAACCCTTGGATTTCTCTTCGCTCTGTTCCCAAGCCTATAGTGACTCTTGCTGGTGCATCCAAGGGCAGGTCCCCACCACCCCACTGGGGTGAGAGAAGCTGTTGAGTACAGTGTCCCTTCTCCCTTCTCGATGCACGTAGAATGTCCCTTTCAAGGAGCCTGCTGCCTGGCTCGAGTCTCACGGTGTGTCTGCCTCTGTGATCCTGCGCTCTGTGCCCAGAGCAGCAGCGTTTTGGCAGCAGGGTGGACGCAACATGGGGACCGTCCAGCCTGATGAGCGCGCAGCCCCTCCTCGCTACTGCTAGTCACGGCGAGTGGGCATCGGGAGGGGCACTGCTGCTCCTGATTGCCTTGCCCTTGCAGGACCCTCAAATGTGAGAAAGTTTGAGATGGGTTGTTTCTTCCTCCTTGATCAGCTCATCCCTACCTGGTCCCCATACTCCCTCACCCCACCCCAGCTCCCATCCTCCGCGCACACCGTGTTGGGTCACACCGCCTCAATCTCGCCTGTTTTCTTTCTTTCTTTCTTTCTTTCTTTCTTTCTTTCTTTCTTTTTTTTTTTTTTTGCCTTTTCTCCACCTCTCATCACAATTATTCTGCCTCGGGTGGGCGGATGCGTGTTCAGGGACACGTGAGGTTTTCTGCCTCAGAGACAGGGATCACAACAGACCGTCCCTTCTCTGCCCCAGGATCTCCTGTTAATCGATACACCACCATGTAGCTTGCTTTAAAATGAATGATAGGACATCTAACACTTTCTGTCTACATGAGAGTGACAAAAATCAACCGAGATTTCCCCCTGTGCCATGTCCAGTATTGAAGGTGTGGGGCAGGTGACTCGAGATCCTGGACAGCCTTTCCTTGGGTCTGATCTTTTGAGGAGAGGATAAAACCTTAAGAAACTGTGGATGAGGCAACAATTTCCTCCCTTTTCACAGAAGTAAGATTCAGCTTCATTCTTGACCTGAAGACCTGACCCATACATACCTTTTTCCTGAAGGAGTCCTCATGGGGCTGTGACTATCACTTCCCATGACATTGACGGGTGGGCACTGGCGGATTTTGAGTATTTGCCCTACCTGCAGGGCCTTAGGTTGTGGGGAAGGGACTGTCTGTGTGTCCTTCCTCTAAATTAGTAGAGCCTAAACCCCCTTGGAACATGGGCACCGAGCGTCAGATGGTATCTTTATGGCCTGGAAGATACCTGATATAGGTGCTCCCATATTTCTACAGTTACAGAGGAGGGGGAAGGGGGGGGCCGGATGTCTGGGATCCAAAGCTCCTGTACCCAAGAATCTCGCATTGAAAAATAGCTGCCATTAAGAACCTTATATTTGGGGAGAGGAGAAAGATGATGCAGGTAATTGTGCAGCTACGTCCATCCGCAGCCCTAGATCACCTAAATTGCCCCTTCCAGAGGCTGGATTAAGGTCCTGGTTCGGTGCTAGGCTGTGGGTATCATCCGACCTCCCTATCTAACACAGATCACAGCCAGTTCTCTATCCCTTGCCAAAGCTCACAGTGCCCCCTCGTGTCCAAGTGCTGGAAGTTTAAGGCGTTGCCCATGTCCCAAACTTGTTTTGTTCAGCAGAAGGAAGAAGGCTTTGTGCTTCCTAGTCCCCTTAAAGTACAGATAATGTCCTCACGGGTACCTTTGTATGATCTCAATACGTTGTCGTGAAAACCTTAGATTTTTGGAGAGGCGAATATTCCAGTAGTTTCAAAATAATTCTGCTGCAAGGGAACAAGTTATCCTCAGATTCTCGTTTGGAAGTTGGTATCCTAGGCCAGACATCCCCGTGTATGTCTTAACGTGTGGTAAATAATAGCATTATCTGCTATCTTACAGAAAAAGACGATACATCTCTGAAACATTCACTAAGCATCTGTTCAATATAGAGTCAAGGGTAGAGAACCATGAAAAGAGAAACCCAGTGTCAGGCTTCCAGCTCTTGGGCTTTTGGATTCTCCGCATCTGCTAGAGCAGCAAGCAGGAAATGCTGGGCTAGTTGTAGAAGCTGCGTCTCTTATTTTTTATTTCTTTTTTGAGAGGTAGCTTAAAGCTCTTGAGTTTATTGCCATGGTTTTTCTTCCCCAAGTTGTGTGAAAAGTCCAATAACATTACTTAATAGTCCTTTGCCTTCTCAAACACAGCCTCTTCCCCTCAGGGAGCCTAGGGGCATTCATTTTGTCTCGTTAATCTTCAGCAAGCCAGTGAGTATTTTTATTTCCATTTTGTAATTAGGGAAACTATATTGGAGGAAGATGAATGGCTTGCCCAAGGTCATATGGTAAATCAGGATAGAGACAAGAACAAGCCTGTCTGAATGAAGCCTCTCCTCCTCCATAGACAGCAGGAATTCTCCCTTATTTATGTTCAGGGCACTGTCCAATTGGGAAATAAAGCATCCCTCTCAGGAAGGGATGGATTTTATGAATTAATCATTTGTTAATCAGTCATAAATAAAATCTCTTGGCTTTTGATTTCTCGTTTTCCTCTTTTGTACACTTTTCCTGTGCTTCCTCAAGTCTCTGCATGCAGCAGGGAGACTTCTATGCCTCCACTGCTGCTATAGCAAAGTTCTTAATAGACTATTTTTGAAGTCACAAATGCAAAACTTCTACAGCCTGTGCTTGACCCTACTTCCTATGGAGGCACCTGGCTATAGTCCAGAAAAAAAAGGCAAAACAATGACCAGGGATGGTGAGTAAATGGCTCAGTGCACAGAGTAACTTGCTGCATGAAGTCCAGATCCTCTGCATCTAACTAAAAAGAGTTAGGCTAGGTCATGGGCATGGGTCTGTAATGTCAGTGTTGGGGGAAGGGTGGGGGGTTTCAGGGACACTTGAGAGCCAAAATATCGAGGTCCAGGTTCATTAAGACCCTTTCTCATAAAATAAGGTTGATAGTGATCTGGGAAGTTTTCAGAGCCTGACTTACAGCCTCAGACATGCACACACAGGCAATCACCTTGTGCACACATACAAAGAAGTGACTAATTTTAAGATTTAGAAGCCATCGGGAGCTAAAAGCCCATTCCACAGCAATTGCAGTATCAAAATTTACATAGAGGAAGTAGAGGTCCAGGAAAGGAAACTCAGGTTTCCTACTGAAGTTCACATATATGAATGTCTTAATTTCTCTTCCCCCATGGCCTTGTACATTATCTCTTTTTACCTGGTTACTGTCAAAAATCATGTTTATTCATCAATGTTTATTGAGTAGACAGTATCAGACGCCAAAACAAAACAAAACCAGCTTTTTCTTCATTAATGGTAACTGGAGAGATTTCACCATATAGAAATTTAACTAGTAGGTTTTTTTTTAATATGTTCTCCCAACTGACTATATCTACCCTGGCTTAGCTTCCAAGATGAGGTACATCAAGGGCTGTGTGACTGTAGACCTGTACTCAGAATTTTGTAAATCACGCTGTACTGGCTGCTATTGTGTGTCATCTTAACACAAGCTAGAGTCATCAGAGAGGAAGCAACCTCAGCTGAGGAAATGCCTCCTTGAATCCAGCTATAAGGCATTTTCTCAATTATTGTTCAGTGAGGGAAGGACCAGCCTATGGTGGGTGGTGCCATCCCTGGCTGCTGGTCCTGGGTTCTTTAAGAAAGTAGAATGAGTAAGCCATGGGGAGCAAGCCAGTAAGCAGCACCCCTCCATGACTTCTGCATTGGCTCCTGCCTCCAGGATCCAGCCCTGCTTGAGACCCTAATGGACTATGATCTGAAAGCATAAGCCAAATAGATCCTTTCCTCCCCCAACTTGCTTTTTGGTCATTGTGTTTAGTTACAGCAAATCCTAAGACACATACTATTAACCACATTTTGAAGTTGAACCTTGACATTCAGAACCCTTCTCACACACTTTTAAGTGATCCCAGTGGTAGCCTTAAAACACCAAGATAATTTACCCCACACACCTTGTCAAGTATCTTTACTTTTCACAAAATGTAATTTAAGAAAAGCAGCTCTAGAGAGAAAGATGCCATGCAACAGAGTTCAAGCAGAGGGGTATTTTATTAAAGGAAAAGGATGGTTTAAAAGGGGAAATGGGATGGGGAGACAGGAGGGAGGAGACTAGCCTATAGGGACAGGAGCAGCAGGAGGAAAGAGGGGCAGAGAGAGAGAAGCAGGGAACAGACAGAGGGAGAGAAAGAAAGAGAGGAGGATGGGAGGTGGGCAGGGCCCTTTTCAAAGGGAGCATAGTGAATGGTGCTCTTAGTGCCTGCAGCTGAGGGTATATCCTGTCAGAACCCCAAGGACAGGCCAGTACAGGTACCCGAATACTAACACAAGAGATTTTTGATGGATAATGCTTTCTTAGGGTTTTCATTAAAGAATATTTTAAATGTTGATTGTTATTCAATACATTGAGGGTTGGGCTCCTTTTATTTGATTGATTCATTTATTTAACTAGGTTTTGTTTTATTTGCAGCAGTGACTCCTCTTTAAGTGGAAATCACTGGGAAAATAGATTACGGAGAAAGTTTCTATTTAAATACCATTTCAGAACTATTTTGCAATGATAATAACTATGGAACATGCAAAGTTAACACTGACATTCTCAGTGTAATTAATGATAATTATATTCAGGTTTTAAAGTCTAAATATCAAAAAGCAGCTTTTCTGCTCACTAACTTGATTCAGGGTTGCCAGATGAAAAAATAATTTGTTTTGAA